CCTGGTCCTGCTGACCACACTGTTCAACACTGACTCTTTTGGTTGGGGGATGTGCTGACCTCCTGCCCCTTGGCCAGCCTGGCCCTGCTTTTTGACTTTAAACTTACTTTCTCCGTCGTCTCACACTTTTCTCTATTGCGTGACTAGATTCCCAGGGTTCGTCTTGCCATGCCTGGGGGTTCACCCTGTTCAAGAGGTCTCCCCAGAGGAGCAGCGCAGTGTTACTTTGAAGGTAAAGAATGGGCTATGAAGTCCTACTGGGAATTCTCAGGACGGATGACAGCATGCTCCAGTCTGCCTGATTTACCTTCAGGTCTTACACAGTGATTTTTCTGTGCTCAGTAATGCAGGAGACCCAGCGGACCAAATCCCAGGGTCTCTCAGCACATCCATTTGTTCACTGGAGTCATCTGGCCATATTAACTGCAGAAAAACAGTTTCATGAAACCCCAAGCGAGCTCTTTGCTTACAGCAAACAGCATTTGCAGATGGCCCTTTTATTACCATGGGAAGGCAACTGTTTGTGGCCTTAGCCTGAAAAACTTAGGGATCTGTCTGCAGCCATTTAATGTTACCAGGGTTTTTATGGGCCTTGTTTTAATTACCTCTTCAGTTACTGTGAAAAGATAACTGGAAATAAGAGTATTAAAATAAGGCTATTATATATATATGTATGTGTGTTTATATAGGTGTATATATCATGGAATTTCATAGAATCATAGAATTTTAGGGGTTGGAATGGACCTTACAGATCATCTAGTCCCAACCCACCCTGCCATGTCTAGTCTCCCACCAGACCAGGTTGCTCAAGGCCTCGTCCAACCTCACTTTGAACACTGCCACGGTTGTGGCATCTACTACCTCCCTGGGCAACCTGTTCCAGTGTCTCACCACCCTCACGGGAAAAAACCTTTTTCTAATATCTAACCTAAACTTCCCCTCCTTCAATTTGAAATTGAATAATGAAAGGGTTATTAAGTAAACGAGGTAAATCTTGCAGGTTTATAAAATCCGATCACACGACTCACAGTAACAGCAACTTTAAAGTACAGAATTTAGGAACAATGAAGGAAACTCCAGTTTAATTGTAGTGCTGGGCTCATAAACCTTCCACCTGGTAAGGGCAGTGAGGGTTGCATCTTCAGCTTGCTCTTGCAGGATCTGGATGCTGCATTGCCACTCATAGAGCTCTACAAAGACAGATTGGTGGGGATCGGAGAAGTGAGTAGAATTCCATCACTTGTTTAAATCTCTTCAGCAGCAGCTGTCACCAAGATTACAGAAACTTAGTGAATGCTTGTTTTTGTGTATGCAGTAAGTATTGCTGTCAGTCTGAACAAGTGCTAAGTCTGATTTGTAATTCTCTTAATGTGCTCTCCTTCAGTTTGGCCTGATTCTTTCTTTTCCCTCATTATCAGGGTTAGAAAATAGGTGGAAGTTATGCTGGTGGAATAGTAGGAAGATTGCATAGTTATACTGTATCATCTTATACAGAAGGCATATCCTTCCTGCCTTCTCTGGCAGTCAGACTAAGCTGTGATTTCAGTACACCTCGCTGACTTGTAGATTTCATTTATTTGATCCCTCATCTGTCTGTGTCCTTGTGTTGTCTCCTGTCTTACATTTGTTTGTAAAGGAATTGAGGCTTAAAAGCTTTAGGGTAGAGTCTGCCTCTCTTAGTGTGTCTCATTTTGCACTGGCTGTAGAAAACAGTTACTGGCAGAGCTTTGTAGCTAAATCTGCATGTGAAGGACTTTGGTTGGTGTAACTGTGAATGGGGCTACTTTGGGAGCCTTTAAATTTTGCCTGACCATGTTTAGATCAAAAAAGTACAGAATTAACAGGTAATTTTGGCTAGAGATTGGACTAAAGCTCTGGGTTCAGGTCGGAAATTAATCTGAAAGAATATTCAGTGGACTACAACCCCAGGAAAACAGTTGCAGGTTAAAATGTTTGATACCCTAGTTAGTAACTATCTGCCCACAAATGCTTTCATAGCTGAAAAGCTTATGACTGAGAATGGATTCCTTTCCAAGTTAAGCTACAGCTGAGCTCATTTTAATTGCTGTTTGTAGTGTGTACATATATTTTGAAACGCTTTGCAGTTTTGAAACGTTTCTTGCCTGTATATACTGTTATTTTGTTAAGTGTTAGGTCTGTAAAATTTTTCCTCTTCTTATCCTGTAGGTTGGACTAGATTTCACTCCCAGATTTGCCAGCACCGATGAAGAGAAGGAAGGACAAAGACAGGTTTTGATCAAGCAGATTGAGCTAGCAAGAAGACTGGATTTGCCTTTGTAGGTTTTGTTTATACTAGTAGGAGAATTTGCCAGATCTCAGTAACATGTGGAAATACTTCCCAGGATTTATAGTTACTAAGCACCCACAGAACTTTTCTTCCATGGATTAAACTGGCATTAGTGCCCTGTCAGTCTCCAGTTTGAGATTTAGTTATAGAATTCTCCCTATGTTTGCACTTCTGTACAGTCTCCTGTGTCCTGTCCTTGCTGTTTTATTGCTATATCTTCACTGTAGCTAAAATGATTTTTTTCCTGATAAAAGGTATAGTACAGATAAAGTATTTTCATCCCAAGCTGCTGTTAGTTTGTGTTTGCAAAAACCCAGTATTTGGCTGAATTTCCTAATGCCAGACCTCTCCTTGCTGTGCAGAAATGTTCATTCCCGCTCAGCTGGAAGACCAACCATTAATCTCTTGAAGGAACAAGGTATGTTTTTAATGCATTCTCTCTGTCATGGCTTTTGTCAATAGAATTTCTTCAGTAGTGCCATGTCCTCGCATCAGTTTGTGTATGTGAAACTTGGGAGCAATAGTGCAGAGGTTCTGTATTCCTTCTTTATGGGACCAAGGTCTCATTGGAAGGTGGCATGGCAGCCCTGCTGTAACCCTGCTAATGATTTGGTTTGCTGTGTTTCTCCGAGGTGCTACAAAGGTGTTGCTCCATGCATTTGATGGGAAGCCATCTGTAGCAATGGAAGGGGTGAAAGCTGGATACTACTTCTCCATTCCTCCTTCCATTATAAGGAGTGAACAGGTAACATTTTGCCCTGGGTTTGGCTAGGGTTTGGTGCTTGGGAATTGCAGGTAATAGCTGACAGCTTATCATGATGGCTGTTGAGACTAGCAGGACCTGTGTACAGTTACTGTGTCCTGACACTTCTCTGAATAGAAGTTTCAGTTGCTTATAGCATTGCACATTTTTACTTTGGCTTAATTTCTACCTGGGACTTTTCAGGGGAAATTTTGACTAGAAACGTTAAGCTATTCTTGAGAAGCAAGGGGTTTTTTATTTCGTTTATATGTAGTTCCTGGTGAACTTTTCTTTGGAAGCTTCTGCCACTGTACTGTTTTAGAGTAGGGACATGACATGTGGAAAAGGGCTAGTTTCAGGGCTGTGCCAGTTTCTGTTCTAAATGAAATCTGGTTAGGTTGCAGACCTTTGAAAAATCGTGATTATCACGAGGTACACCCAGCAAAGAAACAGCTAAATTGCTTAAAGCTGGCATTGGTCAGGTTCAGCCCTTGATGTGGTGAGATTGTTCTAACTTCTACTCTGGGCTTCTGCAAGCTATGCTGACTTCTTGTTTTGGAATAAATCTGTTTCCATCCTGCAGCATCATCATCACTTTGTATTATCAGGCCAGGAAATGTAAGAAAGGAAAAGGCTTGATTTAAGTGGACAGGGTATGAGGAATGGGTATAGTTGGGGGTGAGGTTAGGAACTTCCAGAAAGGAAAGCAAACTGGGGTTGAGAGGTAAAAGCAAAGATGAGGAAAACATACACAAATACTATATACACAGAAAACAGCAAATTAAAATTGCGTCGGCAGCTCTAAACATTGGGTGTTTTGTGCCATATAACTGCATGATTTAATAGATAACAATGGATTCAGTGTTGAGATAATTGTAGTTTGGATATTTAGAAAACAGGAGAATCCTAATTTGAAAGGACTTCTTAAGCAGCTCCTAGTATTATTGCTTCCATTCAGAAATTGCTGACAGTGGCCTTAAAGTCTTTTAATGTTGCTTTTAAATGCAGGAGATATCCTCCCTTCATAATATTTTCCCATGTGTTTAAGTTCATAAAGTATTTAATAGCTATCTTCTTTTCTTCAAGAAGCAGAAGATGGTGAAACAGCTACCTCTGGAAAGTATGTGCTTGGAAACTGACTCTCCTGCTCTAGGGCCTGAAAAACAGGTAAATGGTGGTGGGGAGGGACTTCTGTGTATATATATCCCAACTCACATATTATGGAGGTCAGTTACTGGCACAGGAGAGTGAAACAGTCAGTGTAAGCACGGATACAAGAGATGAAAGAGGTTACCGAGGGAATGTAATCCAAGAAGAATAGATACATGTAATTTTTGTGGCACACATGCCACAATGTGACTGAAGTTGTGTCAGGAAACACTGAATCTGAAACACCTGTGACTTGTAGGGATCTGTAACTTGGTCTGTTTGTTTGTTTGTTTTCAGGTGAGAAATGAACCCAAAAATATTTACATTGCTGCAGAATATATTGCCAAAATTAAAGGAATTCCAGTTGAAGAAGTTATAGAAGTGACTACTCGGAATGCACTGAAAGTATTCCCCAAACTTCAGAACTTTCTTCGGCTATAAATTCAGAAACTGGAATACAATCTTGCAGAAATTATTATTTGTGATGTAATTAATAAAGTAAATGTGCATCTTGTATTAAAGTGGAGTTTTGCTGTTGTAAAGTTCCAGAAGTGAACAGTTTTATATAGCTGCGTAGGATGAAATAGAGAATGTCTCAAAGACCTTTTGGCATGCACCTTTTTCACCTCTTGAATGTGATCATGACACTTTGTTCATTTGCACCTCTCATGTCTCTGAACAAGTCCTTTGCAAAGAGCACCATAAAGTTGTCAGTTTAATTGCTCAGACTCCTTGCTCAGCTGCTCCGAGTCTGGGAGATGGTTAATGTGTAGTGCGTAATTCCCCTTCATTCCTTATTTCTGCTGACTGCAAGTCACAGAGTTGTGGGGCCACTCATGATAAAAAAACTCCTGTTAGGACTTGCAAACTGCATATGCCTTTCTGAGCCAATAAACCTCCCCTGCTGGATGGATGTCGTGCTGACTGAGCTCTGTGAGTGGTACAGAAGTAACACCCCTTCAAAATACAGTTGGAAGGAATTATAGCCCTGCTACTCTCTTTTTTCCTTGCATAATGTAACTTAACAGTTGCTAAGATCTTGGCTATTTTGAGGATTTGCTTTGATTTCCTTATTTTTGAATTATATTCAATGAGAAAAGCCTGGGTTTGGTCTCAGTTCAAGGACTTCTGACTGTTCAGTGTCAGGAGGGACAGGATGTGAAAGGGACACAAGCCCAATTTTGTGAGATCTTGGAGGTTGGCTGTTGTGGATTCTGCTACGTTGGCCAATGTCCTAAAGGCTGAATCTTGTGCTCCCTCACAGCACCTGTGTGGATGTGTGGGCCTGTGAAGTACTGGTCAAAGTTGTGCTGACTATAAACCAGTAATTGAACAAGGTTTTGCATGGCACCCAATCGTCTGAGGGCGACTAAGGAAGTGGAGGTTTTGTCTCTTTTCATGGGGAGTTTTGCCAGCTCAGGGGAGAAAATATACAGGTATTAACTTAGCCCATGATCACCTCAGGTACAAAATCATGTATCACACCAGGACAGTGAAAGTGTTTGGCTTTAAGATTCAGGTTCATGTCTACAATGTCTCACATGCCTGTGTGATTATTTATTTTTTGGAAGGGGTATCAAGACTCTCCTATTTTCCTAGTTAGAGAATCTTACTGGTTACTCTTTTGCAAAATGGTTTGCAATGCCCTGTTCTGAAATCATGTTGTCTGCCTTCTGGGGTGCAGGACTGGAAGGCAAGGACTTGAGTGTTTTCCTTGTTTTGAAAAGGATGTGGGTAGAGAAGGTATTAGCTCCCAAATAGGGGAAAACAAAAGAGAAGGAGCAAAAGCTTGCAATGTAAGTGATGCCTGTCTTACAGTTTTTTCCTTTATGTTGTCTTCCTCAGTTTCTTAAAACCACATTGTCCGGAGGGGCTTTTGCTGTCTTTATCAGAACAGCTGTGTTTTCCTTTTTAACTAGGTATAGCTTATTAAGTGTAAACACATCTCTAAACAGTTTTCAGCCTGCAGCAAACAACAAAACTTGAATAATTTGTCTCTATTACAACATCTACTCAGAGCAGCAAATACCTGAATCTTTGGTGAGTGTTTGTTCCAGACCAGTTAGAGCTGTTTGTTGGCCTGGATCTACTGACACTATTTCCATTACACTGGGCAAAGGACAACGTTTGCCTCCAGATGGTGCTAGGGAACAGGTGTCCAATTGTCTTAAGAATATTAATGCAGTTGACTTAATTTAATGATTAACAATCATGTCATTGGAGGTACTAAACATGTGATATGAGGCAGCCTTACACATGCTTCCCGTGTGTAAGGCTGTGTGATCAGAAGGCTCCCAGCATAGCTTGGAATGCAATTATGTATGGAAATGCTCTGGGTAAAAAATCAGGCAGCATCCAAATATTTACAGAGTTTTGAGCTAAATATTTTTCTCCATGGTATTTACAGCATTGGGTGAAAACACTGGTTTTGCAAAAAGGGGAATATTAAGTATTTAGTCTGCTCAAAACCCCTGTCTCTGGAGAGGGGTAACGCTGCTCTGGTTCAGGCTTAGCCTCGCAGTCGGATGATACCTGCCCTGAGCATTTGAATCCCTTTTGTTGCTGCAGCGCTGCAAAAACCTGTAGACATGCTCACATCCTGCAGCTTCCATCTGGGCAGGGCACTGATGAGGGGTGCCAGCCCCGTGGAGTCTCTGTGGGACAGCCTGTGCCCCTGGTCCCTGCAGCAGCAGGGCTTGGAGGTGCTGCAGGAGTGTGGTTGGGGCTGGGGAAGGAGCATGGAGTTCTTCCTCCTGGGCCAGAGAAAGCTGGCACTGCAGCAGCCGTGGGCAGGGTGAGCCTGGCAGGGTGCCTATAGCAAAACAGACCAACTTTGTCCTCCTCTTAGACCTGCGGCGCCTGAGCTAAGTCATGGTGGCCTGGCGCTCCAGAACAGGAAAATACAGTGTCATTCTCACCCTGCCTTGGCATCCCTGACACCCTGCTCAGAAGCAGCACCCTTTCCCCAGTGCCATTGGTTCTGCTGTGTGAGCTGTGTCCCTGTCCCCAGCACTCAGCGCTGGGGAAGGTGTGCAGCAGGCCCTGGAAACAAAGTTTGCACAGGAAACCCAACTTTTTAAGGCGTTCACTCAGGGCTGGTGGTGCTATGGTGCAAGGGGGAAGAAGTGTGGTTTCTGAGCTGGAAAAAAACGTTGATCTCTCAGCAGTCATCCCCTCAAAAGGGGAATTTAACAGAGAGCTTGTATTTCTGCCTGCATTCCTGGGCTAGTGCCTGATCCAGAGGGGCTCAGGAAGGCAGGATGGCTTGTGGGGCAGCTGTGTGGCAGCACACCATGAAGCCCTCCAACCCCACAAATGTTGGCCTCAGCAATATCAGTGTGTGTGTACGTTGAACCCTGTTGCAGCCTCTCTGGTTGTCTCAATAAACCATGTCCCCTCCAGTGTAGCATAAGACACTGAAGTGGCCAAGGACATAGTGGAGGAAGGACCCACTGCAAATTTAGCTGGATGCCATGTTTAAATTTCAGGAAACCTGTGGAAAAATGAGAGAAAGTACAGAGTTAGTGGTGACCCAAGTTTTCTTTTCAGTCATGCCATTAGTTTTGGGGGACACAAACAGTCCCAGTGACCTCTGTCTCAGAGAGACAGAATGGCACAGATGTCTGCAGCAGTATGGAAAGCAGTAGGTCCTGATACCATCTGATACCTTTAGCCCTCAGCTTTCCCTGGGATGCTATGAAGAACAGATCTGGTTGCACTTTGCATGACTCCTCATGTCTCTTTACTGTGCAGGATGTACAATGTACCTATGCATGATAGAAAAGTCAAGAAAGATTTGTGATTTTTTTTTGGCATCATTAATGCCTTCGGAGTGCCTTGCTTGTTAGTCAGTACTTGTTATTGGTGCAGCTCTGGCTGGTACAGCATCTACCAGGAGAAAAAAAAGCCTCACATGGCATGGTCCTTTCCAGGCTTATAATGCATGCAGATGCACTGCCTGCACCAGGGACTCCCTGGGACATGTGAAAGGGTCTACAGTGAGTGCATAGCTTCACACCAGCCACAAAAAATGAAGGGGAGACCACAGGGTGACAGTAATAATGTATAGGTACTTCCCATAGGCTGAGGTGCAGAGCCTGCAGATATAGAGAGCTTCTAAAGTGGATTTTATCTGTTGATAGAGACAAAATAGTGGACCAGTGTATGTTGTCAATGGCTATCAAATCACACAGAGGTACTTTGCATTTCCCTTTTTTGATGAGCACTGTGGATCAACAACAGGGCCTGGAAGAACACTGAAATTGCAACTCCTTGGCTGGCTGGTGTTGTTGCCCTTTCACCACCCACGCCAAGCTGCTTGCAGGACACCTGTGGAACAAGATTGAAGTGATTTTGTCTGAAGGCCTAGTGGCTTGTAAGAGTGGAGTGGGTATAGAACTAAAAGGCTGTATGAGTCACTTGAACTCAGATCCTGAACATCCCCTCTGAGTTCAGGCCTGACGGCTAAAAGTCTGTCTAAGGGCTCTATCTGTGCTCATTGAAATGGTCTTTGGAGGGCTGCAGGTGGATCACCCTCCTTCTGAAACTCATTTTAAGTCATGCATTAACAGGGCCTGAACCTGCTCAAACTGCTCTGACTTTTTCCGACTTCAACATGGGAACAAGTGAGGAGGTGATGACGAGGCCAAGTGGGTGAAATGCTGTTTAATCATGGTGTTTATTATGGTAAGAGTTTAAACAAATTCACTAGAGACTTTTACTGGAGGTGCTTTCAACAGACTCCTATGCAATGCATAGATAGGCTCTTTAGAGGCAAAAGCAAATAAATAAGAGCCTAGAAATGCAACTTTAATCACTTATGAAGTTCTGCTTCTGTTTGTTTTTTCATTAATGAAGGCTGGGGTTCGATCCTCTGTTCCCATTATGGAGCAGGAAAATGAATTTAAGAGAGTCATTGGCTTAGCATAAAGCTTTGTTCTTCTCTTTGCTTTCTATATGCAGTACAAAGATACAACTGAGATCAAAGAAAGGATAGAATTAGTTTCCTCTGCTGGCGTTGGCTTTTCTGTCAGTCTGAATCACTTGAGGCATAGGCATGACCCTCACTGCACTGCATGGTGTCTGGGACAAATCTGCTTGGGGACATATACGCTTGGGGACTTATCTGATGTCCTTCCAAAGTGACAGAATCTAAATATATGGATTTTGTCTGGGTGAGGTAATATGTCTATGTACACTGCCTTCAGGGGCAGGTGAGGTGGTTGCACTGTTGGTGGCTTCACACAGGTGAGCCCACCCTGCCATGGCAGATCACAAGTGCCATGTTGTAGCTGAGCAAACCTCCAGCTTTCCAGCACAGGAGTGAGTACAGCAGCATGAAAGATCATGAAGCAGCACCAGCATGTGGGGAAGCAGGGCCACATCCCCATGTTTTGGACGTGCAGGGGGTGAGACATGGAGAAGTGTCTGGTATCTGCTGCATTCAGTGTGATTGAACCTCTGATGCCCCAGAGGTATCTCCTGGCAGGCAGGCTGGGTCAACACATGGCCTGTGTCTGGGGCTGGCTGTTAAAGCCTGCCTGCAGAGCAGGGAGAGCTGTTTGTGCTCCCTACCCTGCTTAGTCCCTATGGACAAAGCCTGTAGTGCTGAACAGCAGCAGAGCTCTCTCTGCCCTGTGGCTCCGTGACCACTGTCCTCTCC